CGTCGTCGTCGTCGTCGTCGTCGTCGTCGTCGTCGTGGTCGTCGGCGGCGGCGTCGCCGTCATCGCCGTCGTCCTCGCCGTCGTCCTCGCCATCGCTGCTGTCCCCTCTGGCGGGTGCTGGGCTGCCGACCTCGGGTCGCGCCCTCCGGGGCGCGGGCGCGGGCCCCCTACCTTCGCAGCCGCGCACGGCGCGAGGAGCGCATGGCGATGCCAGGCAAGGGCGCCGAGCTGCTTTCGGATGGTCGCAGGCGACGTTCCAGCCTCCCTCCCGCCTCCCTCCTCCTCCCTCCTCCCTCCTCCCTCCTCCTCCGTCCCCCCCCCTCCTGCCTCTTCCCCTTCCTCCTCTTCATCCTCCTCCATCCCCGTCCTCCCTCCACCTCCCCTTCTCCCCCTCCTCTCCCTCCTCCTCCTCCTCCTCCTCCTCCTCCTCCTCTCAACTCCTCCTCACACCTCCTCCTCCTCCTCCCGCTTCTCCTCCTCGTTCTCCCCCCGCCTCCTCCGTACCATTTGGGCTCGAGAGTTTCTCTCGCAGGCGCGGCGCAGGGACTCTATTGTCGTTTTCCTGTTTTTTCTCGCTCTTCCATTCGTAGCTCATGGGGTCCGTCGTTCTTGACCGGCATGGTTCTGTCCTCTGGAAGATTTCTTCGAGGCTCGGGATTCTCTACCAAGGCTTGCATCAAGCTTCTCGGGATGTTCATCGGTTTCAGCTTTGCTCCGATCGCAATTTGAGGAATCGCCTTGCGAAGAAGTTGAGGGATCTCGACACAGCCTTCAACTGGACGCGGCACATCACCGAGCCGCGGACGGCAAAAGTTTTTGAAGAACTTGACACGCTGCTCCGCGCGGACGGCCAGGTGACCCGCCAAGGCATGAACAAGGCTACTTCCGATGTCACTGACGCTGCTTCTGGCACCCCTACGACTGAGGACATCGGGGCCACCACCATTGGCTCCGAGGACGAACGGACCGACCTTGGCTCCACGGAACATACGGGTCTTCCCAATCATGGCTCAGCTGGGCGACTGCGTCATCCAGGGCTACGAGGACAAGTATTTCCCCGACGCGTGCAACATAGGTGTTGTGCCCGCTGAGGTTGCGCTGGCGTCAACACAAGCCTCCATGCGTGCGACGCCGTGCAGGTCGTGCAGGTCAGGGACGTAGAAACCCAGACCGTAAACACCGTCGCCCCGAATACGCTCACCAACATGATCTTGGGGTCGCAGTTGTTCGAAGAAGCGACCGCCGTGTTGTTTTCCTCTCTGACCGCCCGTCTCGACACATTGGACGATGTGCTCATGCTGATAACCGTGGATGACCAGCGCACTCGTGATTCAAATGTATGGTTCGAGTTTCTGCATGGATGTTATTTACAAGGGCGAAACGTGCCCCTCTTTTGAAGGGCTCCTGAGCGAAATGCAGACCCACCTACAAGGCGACCTCCGCGAGTGCAGGCATACTGTGTTTGGCGGGCGGGATTCTGGAGCCACATGGCTTGTAGTCCTGCGATGACGATGAGGAGCTTCGTGGAACACGCACGTCTCACTACGGCGGTCTGTTCTGCTCGCCTGAGCTCTGGTGCGAGGGTCCTGAGGATGGCGCTGAGGATTTCACGTCGGTTTCAAGTCTCGCTCTTGCCCCTCCCTGGCTGCCCGCTCGGCTCTGCGTTTTGGGTTCACTTTCTCATGGCCTGCTGGCTTTTTCGCTTTCGCTTCCCCGACTCTGTCTAGTTTTCCTTCGGTGCGTTGTCCGATGTATGGCGAAACGGCCTTAGTATTCCCACTTCTATGATACCCTGATGGTGGTATTTACTTATATCAGTGGAGGGATCGGCGCGCCTCCAGGGGTGGGATTCCTCCTCCTCCTCCTCCTCCTCCTCCTCCTCCTCCCCCTCCTCCCCGTCTCATTTCCTCCTCGTGCTCATTTTCCTTCCCGCTGATTTATGGGGCATGCCCAGGGGAGGGGCTTCCGCGCCGCGGGCGTCAGCCAACCTGTCGGCGACCGTAGACGAAACACACACACACACACGCACACAAAATCCTCCTCCTCCTCCTGCTCCTCCTCCTCTTCCTCCTCCTCTCACCTCATCCTCTCTCCTCCTCTCTCCTCCTTCTCTTCCTCCTCCTCCTCCTTCTCCTCTTCCTCCTCCCCCTCTAATTCCTTCCTTGTGCTCATTTTCCTTCCCTTTCCCCCCTTTGATAAATGGGGGGTGGCTGCCAGTCGGAGCCTGGAAGTCATTGTTGCCCGCGGGGCCAGCCCCCCCCTTTCGACCCCCGTCGCTCCCTGCTCCCTCCTCGATCGTCCTTCTCCCTTTTCGACCTCTGCCTCCCTTCTCTAGTTTTTTTTGTTTGTTTTATTTTGCATTTTGCCTTTTTCTAGTGTCGTGCTATTGTTATGTTATTGCCAAATTCCAGACGCTGCGCGAAACCCCACCAGCCCATCCAGAAACGATGCCCAGAGGAATTGCCTCGATCAGGGAAGTGGGCAGCACGCAGAGGAAGGGTCCCCCGGTGGAGTCCTCTTGGAGCGTCTTGGGGGCCTCTTGGCGGTCCCGGACACTTCTTGGAGCGTCGGGGGTGCCTCGGGGAGCTTCTTGGGGCCTCTTGGGGGTCTCTTGGGAGCCTCTTGGAGGCCTCTTGGGCGCCTGTTGGGGCCTCCGGGGGCCTCCTGGGCGCCTCTTGGGGCCCTCTTGGGACGCTCTTGCGAGCCTTGAGCGGTCTTGGAACCCTCTTGAAGCGTCGGATGGCCATCGGAAGCGAAAACGCGAGAAAGCTACAAACACTAATTTTCCCAAGGTTTTGGAAGGGTTTTGGCGTCTTCGGGGCCTCCTGGGGGAGCCCATTGGCCACTTGGAGCCGTCTTGGAGCGGTCTTGGGGCCTTTGGAGCATCGTGGGAGCATCTTGAGGCATCTTGGGATATCTGGAGCCATCTTGGAGGTCATCTTGGGCTCTCAAGCAGTACCCTCCCCAAGGAGGCCCAAATGTGGCCAAAACCTAAGTCAAATTCATGATTTTGGCATTGTCGCCGAGGCTTCTCGGAGCGTCTTGGGTGCCTCTGGGTAGCCTCTTGGGGCCTCTTGGGGGTCTCTTGGGAGCCTCTTGGGGGCATCCTGGGGGCCTTTCGGGGGCCTCTTGGGGCCTCCTGGCCACCTCTTGGGGCCCTCTTGGGGCACCCTTGGGAGCCTTGGGAGCGCTCGTGGGGCCATCTCGGAGGAGATTGATCAAAGAAAGGGGGGTTCCTGAATTAACGTCGCCCCCCCAAGATGTCAACATGGGGCTCAAGCTTCAGTATAACCAATGATTTTGGCTTCCTCGCCAAAGCCGTTTTGGACGCTCCGACCGCTCGTGGAACGCCCCGTCTAGGTCCAGGGTAATGTGCAGGGGGAGGGGTAAACCCCTCCCCGAGGGGGAAGAAGGGGGTGGAAGAGGAAACACCCTACACCACCTACACCCTAAAGGGCTGGTGGGGTTACTGCCGTGATGTTGCCGTGCTGTTTCCCCCGAGCAGTGCTTGCACTTAGGGGTTCTTGCTTTCCCACTAAGGGAGTGGGCCTGTCTGCTGGTCTGGCGGCTATGTTGCTGCCGTCGCAGCTCCGTCGCCGCCTTTGGCCGCCCGTCGTCTGGCCGCCTGGCGGCTACGTTGCCGCCGTTGCCGCCTCGTCGCCGCCTCGTCGCCGCCCGTCGTCTGGGCCTCCCTGCTGGTCTGGCGGCTACGTTGCCGCCGCCACCGCCCCGTCGCCGCCTCGTCGCCGCGCAAACACGTGTTCCCCTTTTCTCGAAAAGCATTCGGGTCTGCCCCCCCTCGGATTTACTGGCGCGCCTTTTCGTGTCGCAAGTTGTGTGTGCTTCTGCACCATCTTCCATGGTAAATATATGAAGTCGTACCATCCCAGGCAGGCCCTGACCGACCCCCGCTCATCCTCTGATGAAGTATTTTGCGCGCGCGCTCGTTCATCGCAAACCATCATCTTTCGAATATCCCGTGCAACAGATGGGTCGAAGTACGCGCGCGAGCGTCGTTGCGAGCGCTTGCCCAGACCACTCAGCAACTTTAGGTTTCGCAGGGCTTCCCAAACCGACTGCACCGATCATATATATATATATATATAACAACCACTGGTCTCGCAACGTGAGTTTTAAAACAAAGCACGCGCGCGCAGTTTTTGCCAATTCGTAAGGAAAGGCCGCCCTTGCGCGCGCGCTGTCGCGACAATCCCGCGCGCAATAGTGGGGCGGAGCGCGCGCGTGCGCGCGCCGTCGCGCGCGCGCGTGCTGAAATCATTCGCCAACTTCGGGTTTCGCAAGGCTATCACAATCGAGCTCCGTGAAAACATGGGACAAGCACGTGGTTGCGCCGTTGGAGGTGGAGAGGAAGCTGCGCGCGCGAACTTGCGAATTCTTCAGAAAGGGTGCTCTTCCGCGCGCGGTGCCGCCTGATTCTCGCGCGCAAAAGGGGGGGGCGCGCGCCCGCGTCGTCGCGCGCGCGCGCCGAAATCGTTCGAGCACTCTGTAGGTTTCGCGCGAATTTCAGCATGGAGTGTCCCCGAAACATATTAAACATTCATGGCTTCGCAACGTCAGTTTTCAAACAAATGCGTTCTTGCGAATTCTTCAGACAGCCGCAGGTTGTCGTCGTCACTGGCCCTGCCGTCGTCTTCGCCGCCGTCGTCACTGTAATCGCTATTATCATCGTCGTCTCTGCCGTTGTCGACGTCGCCATGGTACCTCGCCAACCCATGTGCCCGCCAGGGGGCGCCCGGCGGTCGTTGCCGCCGCCGCCGCGCCGGTCGTGCCAATTTGCCTGGCCACTGTGCGCGCGGGCGCGCGCGGTCAAGCGCGGGCGCAGAGATGCGCCAGCCAGCGCCAAGCGCTCGTCGCACTCGCCGCCGCAGTTGGCATTGCCGACCGAGTTCGGGTGGGCGGGTGGGATGATTGCGCGAGCGGTGGAGTTGACAATTCGCTGCGAACAGAATTTATTTGCGCCGCGTAGATTTGCACCGCGTATATCCCTCTCTCGAAAAGAGCATTCGGATTCACCCTCCCTTCCCCCCTCCCGGAAATTCTGCCCCCCCCTTTCGCATTGCAATCCGCGCGCGGTTCTGCCCGGTCGTCGATGCCGACTATATATATCGTGAATTCGCGCCGCCGCGGGCAGGCCGCCCCCCCCCCCCCCTCCTTTGAAAACAAAGAGAAAAGAAAACGCATTATGCGCGCGCATTTGCGCGCCGCGAATCATCAGTTTTCAAAAGCC